GAAAGCAAGTTTATGAAGAAAGTAAAGGAATAAAAGAATGGCTACTCCATAGACAGAGCAGCCCCAAGGGCTGCTGGCTGCCCATTTTTACGGTTATTTCTTGCTCATATGCTAAACAAGGGGTGGATTATTCATGTCTCCCCTTTTCAGACCTTATTTGCCACGGCATTTGTAAGCTGTCGTGGCGCCGATGGGAGTGTAGCAGTGAGGATGACCAGAGGTCACTCTTGTGGCCATCTTGGTTTTGGTAAGATTTAGCCACCTTTACAGCAAACTGTTTTATCGGCAAGGTCTTTATGATCTGTATTTTGTGCTGACCTCCTATCTCATCCTGTGACTTAGAATGCCATCAGCATCTGGGAATGCAGCCCAGTAGGTTTCAGCCTCATTTTACCCAGCCTCTATTCAACGTGGAGTTGCTTTGGTCCACATGCTTCTGACATCAGCTCAAACGTTGCTTGTTATCATCACTCTTACTATTTTCATCTCAAATCTGAAGAGTCGCCAGAACAAACCTCCTTCTGCCCTTTGGTTTGCTCCCTCCCCTGGCTCCCAGCAGCAGGGGGCTGCTGACAATTCAGGTTTGTGGTTGAATTCCATGCAGACTGGAGTTCAGGATCAGAGGCAAGCCCTTTTGACTCATGTCAAGGAGTCCCAGGGTGAAGCTGCTCTGTGATCACCCTGGAACTCAACATGTCAGAGATGCCACAGGGTGACGGTAGAGGCTACTTGGTAGCTGAGAACAAGGGAGACACCCTGAGAGATGCTCAGAAACAGTCCAAGGTTCAGAAGCACAGCCAGAGCCCCACAAATGTGAGCCGAGTGGAAGGAGCAAGGCATGGCCTCAGTGTGTTAATACCGGAGCGTATTAATACAGACGCAAGGAATTCTGGTCCCAGTGTGTTAATACCTACGGGTTGGGCGACCTGGGCGACCTGAGCTTGCATTCAGAGGTATCGTAGAAGAGCCACCTGGGGCCTGTGCTGCAGCCGCCTCCCCTACGATGGTGTCTGATGACGGGGTTTTGCAGTGGGCCATCTCCTCCCCCTATTCCTGATGGTCAGAAAAGGCAGGAGAGCCTGAGAGGACATCATCTCTGTCATCAAGTGGGAACTCCCAATGAGATTCCTAATGTTTTCTCAAAAGACACAAATTCCACAGCATTTGCATATCCTGTTCACAGGGACCCACTGGCATGGTGCTGACGGCTTATTCTCCAACCAGATAGCTGAGGATCGTATTCTGTATTTCAAAATGATGCCGAGCATGCTCTTCAAATGCCCTACTAATGATGTTAGTTGTCATTAATGTACTGTTAATCATACCTAAAGAGGAATAAAAAGTTGAGCAAAATGCCAAAAAAGAAAAAAAAAAAACCAGTAGGATTCTTGATTGCTAGTCACAAAACCCAACTTTTTATTGAAGCATAGCATATACATAGAAAAGTGCCCAAATCAAAAGTATACAGCTCCAAGAATGTTCACAAACAGAACGCACCCAGGGAACTGGCAACCGGGTCAAGAAACAGAACATGCCAGAAGCACCCCTCAGGCCCCTTCTGGTCACTGTCCTCTCAGGATACTGATCTCTACTTGCAACCACATGGATGAGTTTTGCTGGGCTTTGTACTTTATATAAATGGAATCCTAGGGTGCATTTTTACCTTATCTTGTACACACCAGGCTGGTGAACACACCAAATTGTGGGTGGAGCTACAGCTCAATCTCATTGCAGTCTAGGATTCCGTCATGCGAAAATACCCTAAGTGGCTAATCCAGCCAACATGGGCATTTGGGTGCTTTCCCGTTTGGGGTTATTATGAAGAGTGCTTCTGTGAGAACATTTAGAGTGTTTTTCTGGATGAATACGTGTACACGTTTCTGTGGGGTATACACCTCGGGGTGGAATTGTTAGGTCATATATATTTACATCCAACTCAGCCTATTTCATAAAAGAATAAGGAATGTACAGGATGGAGCTTGCTGGCTCAGGGAATTGACAGAAAACTAGAAGGGAGACCTGTAGGAAGATAGGTGGAGGCGGAGACAGCTCAGCGAGTCCAAGGAGCAGAGGCGTTCCCAGGACCTTGCCATCCCTGGACGTTCCTACCAGCGGACACACCATCCCTGCAGCCTGCCAGCCCTAGACTCCTGCCTTACTGGATGACTACCAACCTCAGACCATGGTGGCTTCCTTGAAATGAGTCTCAGCCTCCCTTCCTTTCTGTGTCACACTCTCCAGGCTCACAGCCCCGAGCAGGGGTCCAGGTAGCCCACCCCAGGTCACTGACCACTTCCCCACTGGTATAGGGCTGGAAGCGGGGTGTGCCTGAGAGATAGGGAATACCTCCCTTCTTCAGCTTCCACGGTGGGTACCGCACACCACTCAGTTTACATCTAAGGCATGATATCCCTGCTATAGGAAGTCAAGCTGAAAACACAGAAATGACAAGTGTCCGCACAGCTGCACTCCACAATGCAAGCAGGCTTTATTCCATTCATCTTCCACTGACTGTCAGAGCAGGGGAGGTCAGTCACATGTCTGTGGCTCTCACAGCTCATGTGCAGAAACCTGCATCCAAGAAGAGGGAGCTAGGCTGGGCACGGTGGCTCACGCCTGTAATCCCAGCACTTTGGGAGGCAGAGATGGGCAGATCACTTGAGGTTAGGGGTTCAAGACCAGCATGGCCAGCATGGCGAAACTCCATCTCTACTAAAAACACAAAAATTAGCCGGGTATGGTGGTGGGCACCTGGAATCCCAGGTCCTCGGGAGGCTGAGGCAGGAGAAATCACTTGAACCTGGGAAGCGGAGGTTGCAGTGAGCTGAGATCATGCCACTGCACTCCAGCCTGGGCAACAGAGCAAGACTCCGTCTCAAAAACAAAAACAACAAAAAAAGGAGGGATCTGAGTTCAGGATCACTCTAGGAAGGGCGACCCACCCCCAAATGCCATAGGTCTGGAAGAAAGACGTACAGTAAAAGGGCAGAAAAGCGTCTCCTAGGGGAAGGTGAGGAAAAGGAAAAGTGAGGCTGTATCTGGAGGGACGGGGCACGTAAAAACAATGGGGAGAAGGTTTGGTGGAAGAGGAGAGCGGCGTGTTTTTCTTGACCTGATTTTGGCCCGCTCTGTGCTGCCCCACTTTCTGGGCTTCTCTGATGTGCTTTTCCGACTTGGGCTTTGCTTCGTCGGGTTAATGATGTTGACATGAACCACGGAATAAAGAGATCCTGCTCATAAACTGCACTATCCAAGGAACTGAGGTCTTAGCGTCACATCCATCACACAATTCTGCTCTAGTTTGAGCACACGCATCTTAACACTGGTATTATCAGTGAGCTGAAAATGAAACCAAGAATGGGTTTTAACAAAAGAAGCAAGGAATAAAAATGTCCTAAATCCATTTACGAGGGCAGCAAGTCATTAATTGATCTGGAAATTATATTTGCCTCTTTGCAGGCAATTTTATATTATTTATCCAACGGAACCATGCTCTCTTTGAAGTCACACATTCTTCCCTATATTATACCATGGCGTTTAGTACATTTATTTGTTTTAAATGATAATCAGAGCTTTCATCTATGTAGCATCTCTCTGTTTCCTTCCAGACAGAAAGGCAGGAAAATTACCATTATCTCCAATTTGCAGGTTGGAACATTTCAGGCACACAATGGCCTGCCCTATATCACACAGCAAGTCTCTGTCAGAACTAGGGAGAGAGGCCGTTTCCAAATAAACAGAACAGAACAAACTTAGACAAAGAGCTCTCTGCTCCCACGGTGTATTCTCCTCTTTCATCAGGGGTCATATGAGTTTGGTTTAGATAGGGCCTTCAGGTTGATCTCAGACAATCCAAGAGCTAATTCATTGATGTCTAGCCTTTCCCTGGGGCATCCATGAATCACCTTCCTTAAGCTACCAGAATATGGCTTCCTTCTGGTGAACACGGGAAGTGAAGTGTACCATGGGTTGCTGCAACAAAGATGTGGACCATGGGCTGGTGCAACAAAGGTATTTGCTTTATGGTGTGCAGTTAAGATTGTGGGTCTCCCTACCTGCAAACAGGTAGACCTGGAAAGTAGCACAGTTCAGGGGGCTAAGGGAACTCTGGGGCCAGACTGCCTACTCTCAAATCCCAGTTTTCATGCTTACAATCTGTAACCCTGGGCAAACTACATAAACGCTTTGTGCCTCAGTTTCCCCTCACTCTAAACCCGGCATACGGCCGGGTGCGGTGGCTCACACCTGTAATCCCAACATTTTGGGAGGCCGAGGTGGGCAGACCACTTGAGGCCAGGAGTTTGAGACTAGCCTGGCCAACATGGAGAAACCCTGTCTCTACTAAAAATATAAAAATGAGCCAGGTATGTTGGCACCTGCTTGTCATCCCAGCTACTAGGGAGGCTGAGACATGAGAATCACTTGAACCTGGGAGGTGGAGGTTGCTGTGAGTTGAGATTGTGCCTGGGCGACAGAGCAAGACTCTATCTCAAAAAGATCAATAAGTAAAATAAAATAGACATACTCTTATGGAATTTATTGTTGTAAGATTAAGTACCTTAACACACAGCAATGCTCAGATGACTGGGGAGCCACAGGGGGCTGCTGTCACCATGACTTGCTCCTGCAGGGGAGGGGCTGCCCTAGTAAAACCCCAACAGGCCCAGGGCTGTGTCCAGAACCAGTCCTTATATTAATGCAGCCCATGCTGGAACTACTGAGTAGGAGCCAAAAGAGGAGGGAGCAGGGAGAGGCGGCATTTGGAGAGGGGAGACAGCGCGCACGGGTCTGCTCCAGCACGTCAGTGGCATGCTGCATTTTCACAGTCAAGTTGGCTTTGCTGTCTGCCCACCGTCCACCTTTGTAGAAGGACCACTCCACACCCAATGGGAAACAAGGGATATCCACCGGGCTCTGGGCACCACGGCCCTGGGAGGACACGTTAAGAAAACCATTCCAGGCTGGGCACAGTGGCTTACACCTGTGATCCCAGCTGTGTGGGAGGCTGAGGCAGGAGAATCGCTTGAACCCAGGAGGCAGAGGTTGCAGTGAGCCGAGATTGCACCATTGCACTCCAGCCTGGGCAACAAGAGTAAAATTCTGTCTCAAAAAAAAAAAAAAAAAGAAAGAAAGAAAGACAAGAAAAGCAAAGCATTCCAAACCTGTGAGTTGTCCTTTTACTAGAATGATAATTGAGAACTTCCACAGCTGCTTTCTCCAGGAAAGGAGATAAAAACTTTATATATTTCAGTTGGTCAAAATGCTCTAATTTGATAATGAATATGGTAAGTAAGGGATATTTAGGCACAGTTTTTTTTTTTAAAAATAAGTTATCCACTGAAATGTATTAATGTGATATAAACTTGGGAATTGATGTTTAAAAATTTTAAACTCTTAAGTCCAGACTTATTTTTACATGGCACATTTGTTATTTGGCTATAAAAGTGTTAATTTTCTTTCCCAAGAACGAAAATAACATGAAAATGAAAAAAAAAAAAAAAAAAGAAATCGAATGCCACAAAGAAAACAGATGAAAACACAAGACAAGCCCCGGCCACCCTCGGCGGGGTAGGGATGGGTGTGGGTCTCGCTCCCTAAGGCTTAGAGCATGCATGGTCTCTACAGGGGACTTTGACGGTCAGAAAAGGAGGCATTTTCGTCACCAACAGGGTTAGAGAATGGTACAAAAGAACTTCTTCTCGCGAAAGGGGTTTTCTGACGCAGGCACTGGGATGATGAGAGGGTCCTCTCGCACGTGAGCTTCACAGTACGCCAGGAGGTCCGCAGCTGCCTGGGAGACCTAGAGGACACAGAGCACAGATGCTGGGTTAAAAGCCCCTTCACAGAGCGGGTCCAGGGAAGAGGTGTCCACGCAGAGAGGGGCAAGCCCTGGGATAGGCTGTATTGTGTGCATAGCCTACGACAAGGTCCTGCCCAGGCTGGAGGGAGGGTTTGTATATTCGAAGGGTGCCTTCAAGCAAGGGACGCTGCCCTCGTATGACAGGTCAGCATGGAGACAGGACTGAGCGCCGGCAGGAAGGCCCAGAGAGGCTTGCTGCACTCTCCAGCAGGTGAGGAGGGGACGCTCAGCACAGCAGTCTCATGATGACTTTGCTAAACCATTTCTGGAAGAAGAAAGCAGAAGGCAGCCCCGGGCCAAGCCAGTGTGATCATATTTATTATTTGTGGGAATTAAAAAAGTTCCTCTTTGAAGTTTCCTTTCTTGCTAAAGAATAAATCATAAGTGTGCTAATAACTCGTTGTTAAGACCTAGCCTATGTAGCTGTTAGACATGCCATGCTTACAGGCACATAGTAGATTCTATGTCCTTGTATTTTAACCAAGATATCTGTGCCGGACATGTTCACAGGCTTGTCCCAGCTCTCCATTGCTTTCACCTGTTTAGAAAAGTTTTAAGTTGTTAGCCAATTGGGTTTTAGTTTAGATTGTGAGATCTGGTTCCAATCAACGGAGATCAGACACAGCAGTAAGGACAACCCCAAATGCGTAAGGAATAAATATATCTGCTCTCCTTTGTTCACTGTACTCCCATGGCACGATGGCTAGTGAGGGTACCCTTCCTGCAGTCCAGGAAGTAAAAATTGCGTTGCCGAAAGATGCAACGTTATTATTAGTTGTTTTATTGCAATCCACTCTTGTGACCCACACAGAGAGACACTTCATCCTCTTCAACAGAACTCATATTTAGCTGTGTTTTAGAAGCACACACGTTTTATTTTTATTTATTTTTTGAGGCAGAGTCTTGCTCTGTTTCCCAGGCTGCAGTGGAGTGGTGCGATCGCTGCTCACTGCAACCTCCATCTTCTGGGTTCAAGTGATTCTCCTGCCTCAGCCTCCCGAGTAGCTGGGATCATAGGTACCCACCATGCCCGGCTAAGTTTTATATTTTTAGTGTAGATGGGGTTTCACCATGTTGGCCAGGCTGGTCTAACTTCTGATCTCAGTTGATCTGCCCGCTTCAGCCTCCCAAAGTGCTGGGATTACAGCCACCGTGCCCAGCCGGCACACAAGTTTTAACTTGGGGTGGCTACTCCCCTGCTGAGAGAGGTGCTCCCAACCAGAAAGATCTTTCCCCTCCATTTCTTTCCAGGCTTATCTCGAGCCTGCGGGCATATGGCAGTTGGGCATCAAACTGTCCCCAAGCTCAAGCCCAGAGAAAGAGAGGGGTGGGAGAGGGCAGGGTGCGGACGAACATTTGCTAAGAGGGAGAGGAAGTCCCCGGCTTATTTTGTTCACGGTCTGTGTCATAGGCTTGGCAAATACACGGCCTGTGCGTTAACTCATCCTGCCAGTTAGGCTGTTCTGCCTGTGAGTGTTTATTAGAGGATTACAAGCAGGGGTAAGTACATAGCAGTCAAATGAAATCCTTCTAGTACATTCAATGTCTAAATCTTCCTCAGAATGATAAAAAAATGTTCCATAGATGAAGAAAGAAATGTTTAGAAGCCTCCAGCTACACAGGCCATACACATTGCCTTCTGAGTTGTAAAAACTGGCTCATCTTTCAACATTTTACGACATTTTCTGATTTTCAGCCCAGCCTTTAGCAATGACTACAAATAATTCTAGCAGAGATATACAATGAATCAATTAAACGCATCACTCACAGAAACTAACTTGAAGTTGAGCCGATGAGTCAGTCTAGATACTGACAAAGCCTGCGTTTGTTAGGAACGTGGCATGCAGGAATGAATTCCTGTGAACATCAGCCTTCTAGTTCTACCCCTGCCCCTAAGCTAGCTGTGTGACCTTGGGGAAGTAGCTCAACCTTTCTGAGCTTCACGTACCTCATTTGCAAAATTCAGGAGCGTTAGAGAGCTCTAAGGTGTCATTTGCTCTAAAAAGTCTATGAATCTACCTTTAATAGAATCATGATCGGTATTTAAGATCCTAAAAGTATGTACGTTGAGTTGAATGGGAGCATTTGAAGTTTGCAGTGTTTTACAGAATGCCCATATAGGAATTTGGGTGAGGCCTAGGGGAAAACTGAGCCTGTCGGGGGCCTGTGAAGCCATCATGAGGAGCCAGAGCACAAGTTTAGGGAAACAGACTCTGAGGCCCAGAGGACTGTGATGGACACACAAGTGAATGGAATCACATGGTGAGTGCTGCAGCTCAGGGCCATCGGGCCCAGCAGATCGAGCCCTCCCTTGCTGCCACCTTCTAGGGAAAGCCGAGCCCCTCTCCAACTGCTGGAGTCATGACCTCCTTAGTCTCCACTCTGGCTTCTCATCATGCCCAGAGATGCAGAAACTGCTGGGGTCTGGGGTCTTCCTCATGGCCACCATGTTAGGACAGCCACTAAATTTATCCAGTGGCTCTCTCTGGCAACCCCTGGGCAGTGGTCTTCACTGCTGCCTAGGCAACACACACAAGGGCTGCAATGCTGGAACAACCACCTTCCTCCTCTAGGAGCCACTGTCCTCTCGGATTTGGTAGGACTGGGACCCTGATTCCAGTGAGCCCTTCCAGGAGCTCCATTTAAGAATGGCTTGCCCAGGTACAGTGGCTCATGCCTGTAATCCCAGCACTTTGGGAGGCCAAGGCGGGTGGATCGCCTGAGGTTAGGAGTTCAAGATCAGCCTGGCCAACATGGTGAAACACTGCCCTTACTAAAAATACAAAAAATTAGCCAGGCTTGGTGGTGGGTGCCTGCAATCTCAGCCACTTAGGAGGCTGAGGCAGGAGAATCACTCAAACCTGGGAGATCAAGCAGTGAGCTGAGATTGTGCCACTGTACTCCAGCCTGGGCAACAAGAATGAAACTCCATCAAAAACAAAAACAAAAACAAAAACAAAAACAAGAATGTCTCATCTGACTATCATGCCCTCTTCAGTTTTCTAGTTTTCACTTTTCTCAGCTACTTCATTTTTTTTGGACACGCTCCAGTTTCATCTGAATTCTCTATGAGCCTTGTTATCTCATTCAGGAAGGAAGTATTCACTATCTACCCTTTAGCTAATTCAGAGGATGCAAGGGAAAGAACAAGGCAAGAGTTTTGCTCTCTAGAAGATCTCATTATGATCTCAAACATGATGAAGTCATTATGATAATCCATGTGTGCTGAAATGTCACAAAAGCAGACTTGCACGCTACTGTGAGTCCATGATGAGAGGCAAGGAGACAGGGGCGTCTGACAACCTGTCGACTCCCACACAGTCGTGGACACCTTGGTGAATCTGCCCTCTTTCTCCAGAGGGCAATCACTGGACTTCTGGGCCCAGAAACACAATTTCCTGGCACATTCAGAATAGTGCCCAACCCATATTAAACAAGCTCAGGAGGCAGCTGGATAAAACCGTAATACAAACAGTAGCTGCCATTTACATTTACAATACATTTACATGAGTGCTTCTCAGGTGCCAGCACTGTGCTAAATGCATCAGATATACTATTTCATTTAATTATTCTATAAGTACGATTCTAGCCTGGGCAACATAGCAAGACTCTACCACAAAATGAAAAATTAGCCAGGCCTACTGGTGCATACCTGCAGTCCCAGCTACTCAGGATGCTGAGGCAGGGACATGGCCTTGAGTCTCGGGGTTCAAGGCTACAGTGAGCTGTGATTGCACCACTGCACTCCAGCCTGGGTGGCAGAGCAAGACCCTGTCTTTCTAAAAATAAAGTACAATTCCTATTTATTTATTTATAATTGACAAATAAAAATGGAATATATTTATGGTGTACAGCGTGATGTTCTGATACACGTATACATTATAGAATGGCCAAATCAAGCTAACTGACACATCCATTACCTCACATACTTTTTTTCTTTGTGGTAAAAACATGTAAAATTTACTCTTCTAGCAATTTTCTTTTTTCGAAAATGGAGTCTCACTTTGTCTTCAGGCTGCAGTGCAGTGGGGCGACCACAGCTCACTGCAACCTCTGCCTCCTGGGTGCACGCGCTTTTCCTCCCTCAGCCTCCTGAGTAGCTGGCATCACAGGCTCTTGCCATCATGCCTGGCTAATTTTTTAATTTTTGGTAGAGACGGGGTTTCACCATGTTGGCCAGGCTGGTCTTGAACTCCTGACCTCAGGTGATCTACCCACCTTGGCCTCCCAAAGTGCTGGGATTACAGGCATGAGCCACTGTGTCTGGCAAGTAATTTTCAAGTATACATCATAAGTACTGTTCTTAAAGCCACTTTACAGATGAGGAAACTGAGGCACAAAGATTAAGAAGGTCACCCATCTATTAAGAGAGGAAGCCATGCTGGGCGTGGTGGCTCACGCCTGTAATCCCAGCACTTAGGGAGGCCAAGCTGGGCAGATCACAAGGTTAAGGGACCAAGATCATCCTGGTTAAACCCTGTCTCTACTAAAAATAAAAAAATTAGTTGGGCCTGGTAGCACATGCCTATAATCCCAACTACTTGGGAGGCTGAGGCAGGAGAATCACTTGAACCAGGGAGTTGGGGGTTGCAGTGAGCCAAGATCACACCACTGCACTCCAGCCTGGCGACAGAGCAACACTCTGTCTCCAAAAAAAGAGAAGGGAGGAAGCCAGAATTTGAAGCTAAACTATACTATACTACAGCCATCCCCAACCTTTCTGGCACCAGAGACTGGTTTCATGGGAGACAGTTTTTCCATGAATTGGAGGTGTGGGGATGGTTTCAGGATGATTCAAGTGCATTACATTTATTGTGCACTTTATTTCTATTATTATTACATTGTAATATAGAATGAAATAATTATATGCAATTCACCATAATGTAGAATCAATGGGAGGCCTGAGCTTGTTTTCCTGCAACTAGATAGATGGTCCCATC